AAATGAATGCACAAACAGAGGAAGTAGATTATTTCATATCCAAGTCGGATGATTAAAACACATTAAATAAACGGCCATAGTAAGTAATTAATTATGTATTTAGAAGAATGAACAGATACAAGATGAAATTAAATAGGTAATGATTTTAACTAAAAGGCAGATTGACAAACTGTATACATAAACACATTTTAATCACAGAGAAGTTAAATTGGCTACTCATTAAAGATTTGATGGAACGTATTACAATTTTCTGAGCGATAAGAAAAAAAAAGAAAAAGAAAAACACTTGCTCGCAATCGTGAAAAAAAATAAGATATACATTCTACAGAACTAGAAATTAACAAATCAACAACTTATCTTGTAGGGAGCCTTGTGGCGAGATTTTGCAGGAGACTGACTGGTGAGTTGTTGGGAGAAATGCGCTCTCTTGTGTTGGCTCTGACGATTTGCATAGTCTGGGACAAATACAAAGGTGCGGGTCTGGTTGCTTGTTGCTGGTTTATGGCGGTGTGTGAAAGGTGTTCGGGAAATGGTTGTTCATACACACAGACATTCATATGTGCACATACACTTATATGTAAACACATACAAACACGTGTACATACACGCGCACGTGCATGAGCATGGCACGCACGCATGCGCACGCAAACACACACACAATCGAGAATGAAAATAAGATTAGCTATGTAGGAGCAAAAAGAAAACAAAGTTCTTATTTCATCATTACTGACCAATTTATTTCCTTCCCTCCCTCCCTCCCTCTTCTCTCCCTCCTGCTTTTGTCATCCTCTTTGTCCTCATCTTATTTTCCTTTCTTGGTTTCCTCATTTTCCTCCTCCTCGCTCTCACTTTCCTCCTTCTCCTCCTTCGTCATCCCCTCCCTCTCTTCCTCCTCTCCCTCCTTTCTCCCCATCCTTCTATTCCACCTTCTCCTTCTCTCTATCATCTTTCCCTACTCTCTTATCTTCTACATTCACCCACGCTATATATCCTCCTCCCCCTCATCATTCTCCCATTCTGCTTCGCTTCCTCCTCCTCTCCTATCTTTTCCTTCTTTTTTCTCCCCTCCTACTCTCTTTTCTCTTATGTCAATCGTTCCCTCCCTTCCTTCCCCACTTCCACCTCCCCTTCCTCCCACCCCCTCCTCCAATCTCCCCGTCCCACCCCCTCCTCCCACTCCCTCCTCCCACCCCCTCCTCCAAACTCCCCGTCCCACCCCCTCCTCCCACTCCCTCCTCCCACCCCCTCCACCAAACTCCCCGTCCCACCCCCTCCTCCCACTCCCTCCTCCAAACTCCCCGTCCCACCCCCTCCTCCCACTCCCTCCTCCCACCCCCTCCTCCAAACTCACCGTCCCACCCCCTCCTCCCACTCCCTCCTCCCACCCCCTCCTCCAAACTCCCCGCCCCTCTTCCTCCCCCTTCAGGTAAGGACGAGACAGGACGCCCGTGCGGAGTGCACTGGGAGCTGCGCGTGTATGTGGGAGACAGCACGGAGGAACAGCCTCACCGCCGTTCCTGCGTCAGGCTCCTCATCAGGTGGGTCACGGTGGTCTGCCTGCTGTTGTTTGTTGTTTGTTGTTGTTGATTACTGGTTATGTACGCAGGTTGCATATGTTTGTTGCAATGGTAGACATAAATTACTTGAGCTTACTATCAGCTGGTTAGGTATATGTAAATGTATGTAATTGTGTACATACATGTTTCTATCTACGCGTATGCATGTAAGCCTGTTTCCTGCATGCACACACACACACACACACACACACACACACACACACACACACGCACACACACACACACCACACACACCACACACACCACACACACCACACACACACACACACACACACACACACACACACACACACACACACACACACACACACACACACACACACACACACACACACACACACACACACAACATACACATACACATACATGCACTCCGATAACGCTTGTCTACGACAGGCCATTTAGTACTCGCAAAATATGTTGCATCGATCGAGGTCTGGTTAAGACATATTTCTGGCTGATTGGTTTAACTGCAGTGGCTTGTTTTGTGTTTCATTTTTGTTCCTGCTGTTGTTCAATTTTCTTTCATTGGTGTGTATTTCATCTTATATTATCTTATTTTTTATTTGTTTTTCTTCTCTGTTTTCTTTTTTTTTATTTTCTCTTTCTTCTCTGTTTTTTTTTCTCTTTCTTCTTTGATTTCTTATTTCTCTGTTTTGTTTCTTTTTTCCTGTTTCTATCTTTTTTTTGTATATTCTGATTCTCTTTGAATGCTCCTCCCCCTCTGTCCCCTTCCTCACATGCTCCTCCCCCTCTCTCCGCTTCATCACGTGCTCCCTCTCGATCACCTTTCTCCTTTCTCCCCCTCCAGGCGTCTCCAGTATGCACCAGCAAAGCAAGGGCGACAACCCGTGGCGTCTTGTGCTAAGGAATTCCTCCTGTCTCCGGGAAAACTGCATCTTCAGGTCACTCTCGACAGGCAGGTAAGGAGAATAGATGAGAGAGAGAAGAGAAAAAGAGAGAGAAGGTGGGGTGAGAAGGAGAGGGAGAGGGAGGAGGAAGGAGAGGGAGAGGGAGAGGGAGAGGAAGAGGAAGAGGGAGAGGGGGAAGAATGTCACTCTCGACAGGTCGGTAAGGAGAATAGATGAGAGAGAGAAGAGAAAAAAAGAGAGAAGGTGGGGTGAGAAGGAGAGGGTGAGAGAGGAGGAAGGAGAGGGAAAGGGAGAGGGAGAGGGAGAGGGAAAGGGAAAGGGAAAGGGAGAGAGAGAGGGAGATGGAGGAGGTAAGGTAAATTTGGCGTTTACATTATGTGCCTTGAGATCCTGGCTGGATTTCTCTGTGTTGATCTTATGCAATTTGTAATGTTTGTGTGTGATGTGTGTGTGCTGGGTTTGCGTTGGATTAGTATGTGTAGTGCTTTTTATTTCTTTTGGCTTGTAAGTATCTAAGCTGTGCATTCTGTACGTGTGTCATGATTCATGCCTGACTCTTGACGTAATAATATGAAGGTTAAATTTAGCTGACAGATCTAGAAGAAAAACATTAAAAAAAATTGAATGAAAGGAATGAATTGCTTAATACAAAAAAAAATAAAAATGGTTTATTCAGCAATGGAATATAAAGATCTCCCCCCCCCCCCGAAAAAATCCTCCACGTAAAGCCAAGAAAGAAAGGAAAGAATAAAAAGAAAGAAGGAAAGATCGTACTTAATAAGAGCAGAACCAACACCTAACAACACACAAAAGTACAATGGAATACAATACTTTCATATCCAGCAGCGTGATACACAGAGATATGAAATGAAGACTTCAAAGGGTTTTGTTTTTTTTTTTCCTGTTTTTTTTCTTAGTTTTATTTTATCCTTATTATGATTCCTTTCTCAAGTTTTCATCAAGATGCAAATTCCACAGAGGATGGGAGAAGAGGGAGGGGGGGGGGATTGAGGTTTGAGGGAAGGGGAAGGGGGAGGGGGAGGTTTACCCATTAAAGAAAGTCTGTAAAACTGTAAAGGAAAAAATAATGATAATATGATAGTGATTACGGTATGGCAATGGTGATGATGGTGATGTGATAGTGATAGTGGTGATGGTGATAATGGTGATAGTGATGATATAATGATGATAATAGTGGTGGTGCCGATGATGATTATGATGATTATGATGGTGATCATACTTAGAATAGACATGCTAATGGTGATAAAAATAACATTCATACTTACGAGAAACACGATATGTTCATGTTAGTAGATTCCTATATCGCTGCTATGCATAACATCGATAACAAAAAGAAAGAAAGAAAGAAAAAAAAAAAAAAAAAAAAAAAAAAAAAAAAAAACAAAAAAAAAAAAAAAAAAAAAAAAAAAAAAAAACAAAAAAAAAAAAAAAAAAAAAAAAAAAAAAAAAAAAAAAACAAAAAAAAAAAAAAAACAAAAAAAAAAAAAAAACAAAAAAAAAAAAAAACAAAAAAAAAAAAAAAAAAGGTTTATTCAGCAATGGAATATAAAGATCTCCCCCCCCCCCGAAAAAATCCTCCACGTAAAGCTAAGAAAGAAAGGAAAGAATAAAAAGAAAGAAGGAAAGATCGTACTTAATAAGAGCAGAACCAACACCTAACAACACACAAAAGTACAATGGAATACAATACTTTCATATCCAGCAGCGTGATACACAGAGGTATGAAATGAAGACTTCAAAGGGTTTTGTTTTTTTTTTTTCCCCTCTCTCTCCTTATTATTATTTTTTTTAACCCTTACTTTCTTAATTTTCTTTTCCCCTATCCATCCTCCCCTTTCCTTTTCTTCCATCCAAATATTCCTCATCTCTTCTTCCTTCTCATTCCCTTTCCCCTTTCCTTACCGCTTTCTTCTTCTCTTCTTCTTTTCCATTTCCATCCTGTCATTTCTTCCTCCTCTTTTCCTCTTTCTTACCCCTTTTCCCTCTTCCTCCTCCTCCCGCTTTCCTCGTCAACCTCCTCCTCGTCCCGTCCTTGTCCTCTTCCCCCCCTCCCCTCCCCACCATAACCCGACTCCCGCTCCCACTCCCATAACCATTCCATACCCCTCCCTCCCACCCCTATCTCTTGCTTCCCCCCCCCCTTCCCCTTCTCACTTTCCTCTTCTTCTCCTCCTCTTCCTCCTCCTCCTTTTCCTCCTCCTCCTCCTCCCCTCCCTCTCCTCCTCCTCCTCCTCCTCCTCCTCCTCCTCCTCCTCCTCCTCAGGAGATGCAAATTCCACAGAGGATGGGAGAAGAGGGAGGGGGGGGGTTTGAGGTTTGAGGGAAGGAAGGGGAGGGGAGGAAGGGGAGGGGAGGGGAGGGGAGGAAGGGGAGGGGAGGAAGGGGAGGGGAGGAAGGGGAGGGGAGGAAGGGGAGGGGAGGAAGGGGAGGGGAGGGGAGGGGAGGGGAGGAAGGGGAGGGGAGGGGAGGAAGGGGAGGGGAGGAAGGGGAGGGGAGGGGAGGAAGGGGAGGGGAGGAAGGGGAGGGGAGG